CTGTAAACAAACATGATTAGATTAGCATATAGTAAAGTCTCTCTGCAAGTTTAGTACACTTCATTAATTACTAGGAAAGTTGCAAACGAGCAATCTAGGAGACAAAATTTGAATGCAATTAGTATCTTTAAGCCACAAGTCATCAGAGCTGAAGACAACAATATGTATACAGATGAAAATTTAGGAAGAAATTTTTGTTCCCATAAATTAGTATATATTGCCCATAAACCACCATCCTAATTCAAAGACCTAAAAAATTCTAAGCTGCAAAAATTATCCATTTCATTTCCCAACTTATGGAGGCTGGCTTCACTTGTCTATCTAGCCAGATAAGAATTCATTTTCTAGTAAAGACAATAATAAATAGTCAGTCTAAATTTTGGAGCACTTTATACCACCAGGGTCTCATTAAACCAAATTTTATAAGAGTCATCGGAATCATTTGATATTTGACATGAAAAGGAACATGCTTTACCTCTCTAGGTTCTGATGCTTTCTTTGTACACCGTACATGGTGGGATTCATCAACAATTAAGAGAGCCCATTCTCGGTCAAGCATGCTCTTATGCAAACGGTGAAGCATTGTATACGAAATAACCACAACTCTAGGCCATCTCTTTAAATTGGCTGGATTGTTTTCGTGACCAAATACTAGAGTCATAAGAATGTGTAAGAATCCATTCATGTTTTGCTAGTAAATCTAGAATATGGATATATAAAACAATGTATCAAATGAATTTTTCTAGGTTATAATGAGTTCACAATTCATTCACCAGAAATGCAAGCATAAAGAGCACCAGCAGATAAAAAAATTTATGTCCTCAAAGAATAGTAGGTTTTTGGCTGGCTTGTTAAAAGTTATAAAGCATCAGTTCTAAAAAGAGAACAGAAAAACAAATTCTGAGATGATATTTGCTTCACAAAATTAATTTTAACTAACACCACATCTCACCCCTTTTTACTAACAATTAATCGCACTTTGTAATCATGTATCTACATATATTGCATATGCGCTCACTACTCTTATAGAAGGGACTAAGGAACATATTCAACTAAGGAAATAAGATCAAAGAACAATACCTGGGGTAAATTTGTGCATAGAAGAGACCTAAAAATAGAACTCTCCAAAACCATGGGCATTTTTGTTTTCTTAACATTATTGGAACCAAATGGTTAATAACAAAAATCCATTTACTCTGACTAGGCACTCTTAAATTACTTTTAATCTTATGTATTGCTATTATATTAACAAAAGGCAAAAATGACAAATCATACAGCATGGAATCAAGAAACTATTATTCTTCACTGAATACACAAGATTAAACCTTTTGTAGCAAAGTGTTTTCCCTGAGAATAGTTGGCTTCTCATTGAAAAAATATTACCTAGATGGATGTCAGCAGGCAAGCAAAAAGGAAGCCAGCGCTCTAATTCTTCTGCCCATGTATAACGCAAAATAGCTGGGCAAACAACAAGTATAGAACCTTCACTCATGAAACAGCATGCAATAGCAACAGCCTGGGAGGAAAAGTTTTAGCATATTAAATCTTATATCTTCATGGAACTTAGGGGAGAATAAGAGGAAAAAATTCAAATGCAGGAGATCCACCTGTTTGTGTATAAGTAATAACGTTCAATCTCTGTGTGTGTGTGGTTATGAGAAAGCTAAAGAATATCGTAGATTCTCACTCACTAAAAGTACATTACAATGTCTAAGTGCTGACTCAAGGCATTGAACTGTTAGAATGTCAAACCTAGCACCATGAATAAGAATCAGAAGGAATATAAGTTTACTTAATATAAAACTACCTGGAGTGTCTTTCCCAGGCCCATTTCGTCGGCAATAAGACAACGTCCACCCCTTTGCAAACCAAATCTAACACCGTCAAGTTGGAAAGGCAAGAGTGCATCTAATAGATTCTTCGGTAGCTTCCCAATCAACTCATCAACCTTATCATCTGACAAGTGTTCTGGTCTGCATGGTATCCATTTACCAGAAATAAAAGAATGTGAAAGTCTCTCTACAACATTAAGAGTGCCCCAAGGTATCTCTTCAGTGTCAATGCCCTTGTTGCTCCTTAAACATTTCAAGACTGCATTGTAATCACTCAGCTTGTAAACACAGGCCTTTCCACCACCATGATTTTGGGTGTAGTGGGATGGCATGACCTAAGACAATTCCAAAAACAAAAACAAAAATTTAGACGCATATATAAATACTGAATACCAAATTTCACAGAACCAGAATTCAATTTCCTTTCTTTCCTATTTGTTCCACCAATTTTTTGTCACCGCCCGAAAAGGAAACAATAGAGACACACTTACATAAGCCAAGATATCACTTAGTCTCCTTAAGCACTCCTCCTGCCCCGGAAATGCAAAGCCTTGTACGGCTACTGGGGTAGCTGAGAAGGAATCCGGGGAGCAAATTTCGAGCCTGACCCGGAACCTCGTAGGCAATTGGGTATTTATAATCAGGTTGACCCGGGAAAGTTCTGGCCTTGGATCGGAGATACAGTGAGTGACGTTTGGGGTGAGGTCGGGAGAGAGCTTTCGGCACTTGAAGAGCGACCATGGGTTATGTTGCTGCTGAAGATTGGAGGATTCGCTCAATGCTTTGCGTTTTGCCAAGGCTGCTAAGCGATTTGCTTCGGCTCGTTTTCTTTGCTCTTCTGTGATTTCCATTTTGGGTTTAGGGATTTGAGATACAGTGAGGGTTTCGTAAAGGGCAAAGGGCGGGAAATGGAACGATCGAAGCTGAAGAAGAAGAAGAAAATAATCGGAACAAAAGTCAGCACGTGCCAAGCATATTGTCCTCAACTGCAAAAGGACCAATTGACAATTATTTTCAGATATTACGCTAATTCGCAAATATCACAAACAATAAGTGCCTTATTGACTATCAATATTTCCTTTTTGATATTAGTGACCGTTCGGAATTGTTTTTTAGCCCTTTTATTAGAAGAATCTCGAAAATTTTATTACAAATTCAAGTGTTTGGACTTTGAATACCAAAAAGTGTTTTATAAATCAAAGTCACTTAAAAATTTTTTTTTTTAAACATAGAGAGGAATTGTATAAAATCGAACTTTAGAATTTAAGATGAAGAATGTAATATCTTTTATTGTCAATTTTTTATGGCTTATTATCATAAAACGTCCCTGACGTTTGCGAAATTATCACATTGCATCCCTAACGTTTTTTTGTATCATTAATGGTCCCTAACGTTAATACAGGTACTCTTAAATAGTCCCTCTGTCAAAAAAACCGTTAAATCTAAGGGTATAATCGTCAAATCAATCCAAAATTATAATATTTTTTTTTCCTTCCCTTCTCTCTCTCTCTCTCTCTCTGTTTCTCTTTTTTTTTCTCCTCTCTTTCCTCCTCTTTTCTTCTTCTTTTCCTTCACTGTTTCTTCTTTCTCTCCCTTTTTTTTTTCTTCTTTCCTTCTTTGTTCCTCATTTTTCTTCTTTCCTTCTTTCTCTTTTTTTCTTTTTTCTTTCTTCTCTTTTTTCTTCCTCTTTCCTTCTCTCGGGGTGGTGATTTGGGTGGCTAGAGTGCTGGGTTGGTGGGCTGTGGAATGGGGCAGGGAGAGAGTTGCAGAGAAACTACATAGAGGGGCAGGGGTATAAGATCCCACGGTGGTGGTTTGGGTGGCTAGAGTGGATGGGTTGGTGGGCTGTAGGAGGGGGCAGGGAGAGAGTTGCAGACAGAGTAGAGAGAGGGGCAGGGATATAAGATCCCACGGTGGTGGCTTTGGTGGTCGGGGTGGTGGTTTGGGTGGCTAGAGGAGACAAAGAGAGAGAGAGAGAGAGAGAGAGAGAGAGAGAGAGAGAGAGAGAGAGAGAGAGAGAGAGAGAGAGAGAGAGAGAGAGAGAGAGAGAGAGAGAGAGAGAGAGAGAGAGAGAGAGAGAGAGAGAGAGAGAGAGAGAGAGAGAGAGAGAGAGAGAGAGAGAGAGAGAGAGAGAGAGAGAGAGAGAGAGAGAGAGAGAGAGAGAGAGAGAGAGAGAGAGAGAGAGAGAGAGAGAGAGAGAGAGAGAGAGAGAGAGAGAGAGAGAGAGAGAGAGAGAGAAGGGAAGGAAAAAAGAAAGAAAGAAGAAGAGTGAGCAGGGCCAGGCAGAGAGAAAGAAGAAGAGTGAGCAGGGCCAGGCGGAGAGAAAGAAGAAAGAAGAAGAAAAGAAAGAGAGAAGGGAAGGAGAAAAAAATTATAGTTTTTGATTGATTTGATGATTATACCCTTGGATTTAACGGTTTTTTTGACAGAGGGACTATTTAAGAATACCTGTATTAACGTTAGGGATCATTAATGATACAAAAAAACGTTAGGGATGCAATGTGATAATTTCGCAAACGTCAGGGATATTTTGGGATAATAAGCCATTTTTTATTATCAATAATCATAAAAAAGGTGTGGATTAGGGCCAAAGTAGACTTGCTTATGATTTTGTTGTTGTTAGTGTTTACATCTAGAATTACATCATTTCATACTTTTAATTAGTTATCCTTTAAATATAGATTAACACTTCACTCAGAGGTCTTGGGTATATACTTTGCTGCTTCTAATTTTTTTTGTGTTGTTTCTCATTATAGCTCAAAATTGAGTTGATCAAATTTAGCTCTCACTTGATCATCACAACTCAACATCTGGGAACAGCTTCCTGTCTATGCATGAAAACCCCAAAACCAAGCAAACCCAGATTCTCTCAATGTTTGACAATCAAGTAACCCAAACCCATCCAAAAAAAAAAACACAGTAACCCAAACCCAATGACCTTATCCTTGTCCAAAACTACGCAAACCCAATAACACACATCTACTAGTTCTCCACCAACTTCCAAACCTTGGCTCATAGATTCATATTATAAGTTGTTGCTTACTCTGGTGGGCCAGCAGAATCCGTTGTTGCTGTTATACCATTCCCTTCCAATGGAATAAGGAATAAAAGAACAGCTGCGAATCCATTGCTGGATTTCCATCTCTCCATTACCAAACTTCAATAACAATACTGCACTTGGATATAATATGAGAGATGGTTTTGTGCCAGAGATGTCTTGAACAAACAGAAAGAAGACCAGAGAGATTAAAAAATGGAAACAACTTGCTAGTTCAGGTTTATGTGCATGTGCTTGTGTGTTGTATTTTGGAGAAAAGAGAGAGGATGAAGGAAGATCCCTTGCTTCCTTCTTCATAGATTCATGCAAACTGCAAAGCATATTTTCCCTTTGCTTGCTCACATGTCTCTCCGCATGAGCAAAATTTGAGATAACCGATATCACAGCCTATGCTGCTATTTTTCATTGCAACCAAACACTTATATATGTGAAGCCAGGAAATTCGGACAAAGAATCCGCAACAGTGGTTTTAGACAGCAATGATACTTTTATCAAGCAAAAGAGGTACCTTCGAACCTTATTATTGATGACTTATGGTTTCTTGCCCTCTCCTTTGCCAAAATTTTATTCAACTCAGACACAATAAAACCTCTAATTTCCAGGATACATTTAGTATATATATGCTTGGTTTCTTTCACAAAACGTTGGTTTCTGCTGCTTCTGCATATTATCAATATTGACGGAAACTCGAACAGATTGATGACCACTTTGCTAAAGTGAGATTTTTGGGTCCATAACCAAATAAGCAGGAAGGATCAAGATCACACTAAAGAAAGAAAGCCACCACCTCAACAAGCAGAATCTTTAGGTAGGTATATGCAGCTAGACTTGCAATATTGTGAAAACTATTCTTTTATTTATGGCTTAGTTGAAAACAGAATGCTCTGTTCTGTTCTGTTTTGTTATGCGGTTGATCTATGGAACAAAGAGAACTAAAGGCATAAGAATGCTCAAGAAACTCCCACTGACTATTTTTTGTAGATAACAAGGGGCAACACTGGTTCCCAAGGCAGTGTGGGGAAAATGAGTCATTATTCTGATGCACAAGATATCGAGTTTTCAACTGCAGTTGCAGCAGCTGCATTTGCTATTCACTCCAATGAAGAAGCTAGATTACAGTATCAAAAAGGGATGAAGGAAAGCCTTCAGATCTCAA